CATCTTCTACGATGTTATCAGTTCAGAGAAGAATTCAGACATTTAGCTAAACAGATTTTCATTGAGTAAAGCTGGTAGAAAAAGCTACCATGACACAAGGCCAGAGAATCCTAACTTTTTCATACAGATACAGAATAGAGCTAGAAGGGACCTTGGAGGTCTTCTAGTCCAACCCCTTGCTCAAGCAGGAGACCCTATACCATTTCAAACATGTGGGTAACACTTCTTAAAAGCCTCCAGTGATGGAACATACACAACTTCTGAAGGCAAACTGTTCCACTGGTTAATTGTTCTCACTGTTAGGAAGTTTCTCCTTAATTCTAGGTTGCTTCTCTCCTTCCATTCATTTTTTCTTGTCTTGCCTTCTGGTGCCTTGGAAAATAAGTTGACTCTTCTTTGTGGCGACCCCTCAAATATTGGAACACTGCTGTCATGTCCCCCCAGTGCTTTCTTTCCCCTAGATGGACTAAGGGGGACGTGATAGGAGTGCCCCTGTTGTAGAGCGGCGGAGGAACGAGGCTGAACCAGAGTGAAACGTAAAAGGCTTTATTGCAATGAATAAAGGGTTGCCGCGTCTGCCTTCTCGCTAGGCAGGCTAGCTGGCGGCAACAGGGCTGGCACTGCTCGACAGCCGCCTTTTATAGCCGGCTGTCAAACGGTGCCAGCCAATGGGAGCGGCTGGTGCTCCCGCTCAAACAGCGGACCTGGTTGGGGACTCCAACCAGTCCCAAAGACATAACAGCCCCAATATTTGAGGGGCTTCTATTTCTTTTTATGTCCATGTTGCCTACATTGATCTAGTTGTAGAACTTGCAAAAGTGTTGGAGTTTCTCAACTGAAGTGTTGCACTCAACTGAAAACTCCCCACTTCTTATCAAATGCCAAGGAACGGATTTGATTTGCACTTTTCTTTAATGGCATACAATTCCGCTCTCGCTTATTTTTATACGTTTCAACCTGCTGTGACATGTTGGGTCATTTTATGGAAGTGTGTTTAATTAGGCTGACTGTGAAATTGCTTTGTGAGCTGCCATAACTTAGCTAAAAGGAAGGAAGCCTTCTTTTTTTAAAAACCAACTGAAATGGTTTTGAAAATCAATTTCAGTTGTTACAAATTTCATTTCACACACCCCCGCCCCCCCCCCCATCTGAATAATAGGGTTGACTGCTAATGGCTACTTTGGCATCCTCTGTCTTGGCATGCAATTTTTGCAGGCACTAATTGACTTGTGTAAAATGGGAACAACCCTCAGATGTGGTATTGTTGAGTAGCAGTACACAACAAAGCACTTAGTGCATTAAAAGTACTGTAATAATTGGTACTTTTAAACAATTTTTTTTGCAAGCGCAGATTTTTCTCCAAAGCACACATTAAATCTTGGGACAATTACAGGGTTTCAGTATGATACAAAACTTGGGACCAGCCCCAAAATGTTTGAAAACAGAAAATTCCTGGAAAATTAAATCGGAGAATTTTTGAATATGGGTCATTAAAGTCCACGTATACCGTGCCCTGCCTAATACAGCTGGTCCTTGACTTATGCCCACAACTGGGCCCAACATTTCTGTTGTTAAGCATGATGGTTATTAAATGAGCTTTGCCCCTTTTTACGACCCTTCTTGCCACAGTTGCTAAGTGAATGACTGCAGTAGTTAACCTAGTAACACGGTTGTAAAGTGAATCTTGACTTTGCTTGTCACAAAAGGGGATTACATGACCCTGGGGATGCTAGGTGTTAAGTGTGAAAAAATGGTCATAAGTCACTTTTTCCAATGCCGGCGTGACTTTAACCGACATACTGTTGTAAGTCAAGGATTAGCTGTAGATGGACAACCTGTGGCGCTAATGCCATTTTTAGTTCTAGGAATTGCCAGGGCTCCGATAGTCACCCCTATTTAAATCATGAGTCTCTAGACTGATCTTTCTGAGCTTAAAGAAAATTTATTAGGAGTGAACATGCCGGTGCAACCTAGGTGTAGCCAACTCTGAGACACATCATTCATTTCACCCTTGACCCTGGTCTTCCCCCGACCCCCAGATGTATATTCTCCAATGGGACACATTCATAGCCAAGAGTCATCAATTGTGCTCTCCAATAATAATCTTGCATACCAAAAGCTTCGGTCGCCTAGAAATTATCTCCCTTTCTGCTGGCAACTCTTGAGGCCAAAATTTCCATTGCCAAGCTAGACAGTTGGGAAGTGAATTTTGCTCCATTTGATGCCCTTTCTTGACTTAGTTGTTAAGTGAATCACTACAGTTGTTAAGTGAATCATTTAGTCATTAAGCAAAATGGGCTTCCCTCATTGACTTTGCCTGTTAGAAGCCAGATGGAAAAGTTATAAATGATGATCACATGACAGTTCATCATCTTCTTTTAATGACCGTCCCATAATCCCATAATCCCTTGCGGAGTTTGGGCGACTGAATGGAGTTGAGTGTTTTCTGGCCGGATGCCCTTCCTGTCACCAATATGGAGTTTTTGTTCAGCAGATATACTTTCATTATGCCCAGATTCAGAGAGAGAAATATCTGCTTCTTCCTAGGATCAAATTCATAGCCTCCTGATTGTGATTCAAGAGCTCCACCTCTAGGCCACCACGTCATTTGACCACCAGATAGTTCAACCATCATAAATACACCAATGGCCAAGCACCCAAATTTATGGTGGTTGCACTGTCCCCGGGTCATGTGATCCCCTTTTGCAACCTTCAGACAAACAAAGAAATAGCAGTAGCACTTAAGACTTATATACCGCTTCACTGTGCTTTCCAGCTCTCTCTAACAGAGTCAGCATGTTGCCCCCAACAATCTGGGTCCCCATTTTACCCACCTTGGAAGGATGGAAGGCTGAGTCAACCTTGAACCTGGTGAGATTTGAACTGCCAAATTGCAGGCAGCCAGCAGTAATGCATTCTAACCACTTCGCCACCATGGCTCTTCATAATATTGAAATAAAAGATTGTTGCTATGTAATATGACAAAGTTGGTGTATGAAAGTGATATAAGGAATTTTTTGATGAAACTACCTGGTTCTTCATATCTAATGAATCCTGAATCTATCCCAGCTCTTCATAGTTTTATCTAATTTTTCCCCTCTCTAAAAAAAAAAGGTTAAAAAAAAAAGTGAATCAGAATGCCTCTGTTCAATTCCTGTGTTCCAATCCCAAAAACACCAATTGATAATTGTTATGACTTCAAAACTCCATAATACATGTGAATATTCTCATTGTCGTGCCCCAGCACATAACTTTTATATACTGTTGTTGTTCTCTAGCCCCATCTAGTGGCTGGAGGGACAAATATACGATCAATATATGATTTTATATACTGTTGTTACTCTCTAGCCCCATCTAATGGCTGGAGGGACAAATACTAATTATATTGTTTGAAACTGACCCAACTTCTTTACCCATCAGCCCGAACTCTCAAAATAAGTGCATGCTGGGAAGCCAAACTTTATTATTTGGAGAAGGCAAAAGCACAAAGAAGAATCCAACCTTAATCTGTGGCACATAGTCATCCAAGGTCAAACCCACATCACACACAAACAGTATCCCTGGTAACCCAATACTGCCTATCTTGTATTTGGTTCTCATTGTATGTATCCCTATTTTCCCCAGTTTCACCATATCCTGTTCTTTCAATAAAGCATTCATATCTATGCACATGGTCTGATTTTTTGGAGGATAAGTGAGTTTAGCTGCATGTCGAGCTGCACAGAGCAACATGTAGAGATGACAGAACACTCATCATCACTTGATGGTTCCTTTACCCAGCTATTACAGCACAAGAAGAAGAACCTGGGGAATCTCTATCATCCAAATCATGGTTGTCTCAAAGGTGGTTTTTTTTTCCCAAAAGGCAACTGGACTTTGTTTTTTTCTTTGAAAATGTTTTGCTTCTCATCCAAGAAAGTTTTTCTTGGATAAGAAGTGAAAATAGAAAAAACAAACAGGAAAGCCCAGTTGCCTTTTAGAATAGGAAGAATATGTAGCTCACATTCCTCTGTGCAATTTATAAGCCATAATATGCAACATAATATGCACCATTCAGACAATGCAAGCATACATTAAAAAAAGAAAACCATTTTCCTTTCATCACTCAGCCAACTTTTAGCAACAAAGGAGACCAGAAAGTCAACTTTGGAATGACTATTGGACAGTTTTCAGGGACTTTAATTTCATTTCGCATCTTAACATAACTTTTGGATTAACAGGTCAAGGTCAATGGAATCCAGAAGATGTGTGATCTTCTGGTCTTATCTCAAAGTTTAACATGGAGTGACATCAGGAAGGAGATCCAATCCATAAAGCCATAGGGATTATAAGGGTTTCCCGCATTTTTTGATCAGTTTCACAATCCATCAGAGAGTCTTGATGCAAGAATCAAACACAATGACAGCTATTTTGTAGAGGAGGAAGACTATGGAATAGGAAAATATTGTGTAAACACTGCTCATCAAGTTTGGAAATCCTCAAAAGACGGTCATCACAGATGTCTGTGGCGATTCTCAGTCCTCCAAGTTATGATTGTTCCAAAGATGCTTTTTTAAGGCAAATGGACTTTGTTTTTCCTTGAAGAAAATTTCACTTCTCATCCAAGAAGCTTGTTTAATTCTGACTGAATGGTTCTGTCACCTTCTGACTGTGTTGTAATATCACAGTCTACCTACCATCTATCTCCTGTTTGCAATTTTCAACAGCTCCAGGAAGGTTCCACACCCATTTGCGCTATTCGGATGATCCAGAGGGCAGATAAACCTCCAAGTGGCCTCAGTGATTCTCAGAGGGAGTACTAACAACCAGATGACTGAATATGAATCCTTCGATCTTCCATCATTCAGCCAGATTTGAAGAAGCTTCTTGGATGAGAAGAGAAATCTCTTCAAGGAAAAGCAAAGTCCAATTGCCTTTGGAAAGAGAATTTTTGGGACATGCCAACACAGATTTTCTACATCATCACAAAGTTAGCTTGAGGTGTCAGTGCCAGGACGGTTTTATAAGTGTGATTGATACGTAATGTGTGGATAATTTTCATCCTCCATGAGTAAAGGCTGGGTCTCTTCCACGTTTCTTTTCTTCTTTCGAGTCCCTAGTGTGATGAGTCCTTTGATCGCCATTGAAATAATGGCACCAATGACAGCAGCTCCGAGTAACCATGGCCAGATCTGACGAGCTTGTTCCAAGTAAGGGGAGAGGAAAGTCTGAAAAGGAGAGGCTGTAAAAAAGGAAAGAAAATCAGTGGCCAAAGATTTATTTACTGGGGTCAAGAAAACTACATGAATGGATGACACCATGAAGCCACCAAGCATCTAGCACAATGAGGAGAGGGGCCTGGTGGCTCATGAGGTTAGAATGCTGGGCTGATGATTGACAGGCTTGTGTTCAAGACCTGTTGCTGCCATGGGATGGAGTGAGCTCCTGTCACGTGCTCCAGCTCCTGCCGACCCAGCGTTTTGAAAATGGGCAATTGTGAATAGATAAATGGGTACCACTTCAGTGGGCAACTTCATGGGGACATGGAAGAAGCTCCCAACTGGGCTACAAGGATGTCACTAGCAAATCCTTTCACCATGGAAGTACTAGTAATGAAGGGAGCAACCTTTTTTCTACAGTATATACAGGTAGTCCTGAACTTATGACAATTGAGTCCCAAAATTCCACTGCTAAGTGGGACAATTGTTAAATGAGTTTCTCCGCCATTTTTCTTAACCTTCTTTGCCACAGTTTGTTAGGTGAACCTCTGCAGTTGTTAAATTAGTAACATGCAGGGGTGGGATTCTACCGGTTCAGACTGGTTCGAGCGAACTGGGTGTTAAGTTTTCATCCAGTTCGCTGAACCAGTATTTCAACTGACTGCCCACCCCTCCCCTCCCTGGAGTCTCCATGTGATGCAGGTAAGTACAGGGTCTGCGCGGAGGCTCTGGGAAGGGGGAAAAACAGGCCTTCCAGAAGTCCAGAAACAGGCCTGTTTCTGGCTTCCGGAAGGCCTTTGTAGCCCGGGGGAGGCTGTTTTCGCCCTCCCAGAGGCCCAGGGGAGGCCTCTAGAGCCTTGGGAAGGTGAAAAACGGCCCTCACGGAAGTTCCCGTAGGCCACGCCCACCATGGCCACACCCTCCCAACAACTGGCCAATGAACTGGTTGCTGGGATTTTTGAATCCCACCCCTGGTAATATGGCTATTAAATGAATCTGGCTTCCCCAGTGACTTGGCTTGTAAGAAGGACATAAAAGGCGTGAACAGAGGACCCCAGGACACTGCAAACCATTATACATTTTCCCCATTGTCCCTATCTTAAATATGAACCAATGGCCAAAATTCTGAATTGTTTTATCGCGTGACAAATAGAGATGCTGCAATGGTCGTAAGAGTGAAAAACAATCACAAGTCACTTTTTCTTTAATTTTAAAATTTTTATTTTATGATATAAAATATAAAATACAAAGAAAGAGGAAAGAAAATATGAAATTAAGGGTGGGAAAGGGAATGGGAAAAGGGTTGTGTGGAATACAAGGAGGAAGAGAGAGAGAGAGAGAGAGAGAGAGAGAGAGAGAGAGAGA